ATCAAAGTATCAGTTATCAACTGATAAAAATTGACACCTCACCTGAAGCACGATATATATATTTTAAAACTAACATTGCATTTCAATTTTACTTAATTTCAGTAATACATTCTAAAACTGTGTTTTAATTTTTTAATTTTATGTATATTACATAGCATGTTTGCACCACTTAAACATAAAATGAAATTTCAAAAGAAATACTGGTTCCACTAAATAAAATAACAACATTACATTATATATTCATTATGCTCCTATATAATATTGAATATTGATAGCCAATAAAATTAATATCAAAATGGTACTATATCACATGATTATTAACATAAATGAACAAGTTCATGTTTTTAACCAAACAAGTTATTATATATATATTGTATATTAATGTTATTATTTTTTCAACAATCATTATCCATTCACTTAAAATAATTACTATACTGCTTTGTTGTTTTTATAATCCTTATAAGAAATATGTGTGTCATAACATTTATTAAATTGCTTACATTTTTTATAATTTTGTACAAGTATTATGAGTATTTTGATTTTAGATAAGATTTATTTATTTAACAAGTCATAGTGATATTTTATGAAGCAATATAAGTTTTTTTATAAATCAATTGGTTTAAAAAAAGCAAAGATGGGCTTATTATTAGTATGGGCTGTGTGTTTATTAAACAAGTTTTTACAAAATCCAAAAAAAAGTTTAACAAATTAATTTTAAACAAGTATGAGAAGAAAATGTGAAAAGGTTTACCATCTCTGATGCTGGTGTGGCTTTTAATGTAACTTTGCCAAGCCTTTTTTTAATTTTAATTATAACACAGCCCTCTGCAATAATAGTAGTCAAAGCATTTTGCATATAAATACAACTTGTCTAGCTGTTTCACAATTTATTTTTTTTTTTTACCATTTCTTTCTTTCCTTCTCTTGACAAAATATCCATGTTGGATTATATACTACAATCTGATGTTAATTAATAATTTATTAAATTTATTAGCATGTGATTGAATGTCAATCAAATTCATATTCACCTGAATTCAATTAGTAATACAAGAAAAGAAAGAAAATAAAGAATTACCAAGAATTTTGAAAGAAATTAAATTATTAAAAATTTTTGAAAATTATGAGAACCAAATAGACAAGTGTCTACTTGCTTCTATTACTTGAAAATTTATATTATGTAAAGAGAAAAAAAAGCAATGATGAAAATGATAGTGAATTCTGAAATCATTAAAATATTTAAATATTCTTATTTGTATTCTTTACATACTAATTTTAAAATATATCAGAAAATAATCTCTTGTAGATGAATAATATTTAGAAGTGAATAATGTATTATACTAATTCATGCATATATAATGAATAGACCAAGCAGAAGTGATTCCTCTATTTCTTTGAATTATTTACTACAATCTGATGTTAATTAATAATTTATTAAATTTATTAGCATGTGACTGAATGTCAATCAAATTCACATTCATCTGAATAATTCAATTAGTAATACAAAAAATTAAAGAATTAACAAGAATTTTTGAAAGAAATTAAATTATCAAAAATTTTTGAAAATTATGAGAAAGTGAACTAATTAGCTCCGAATTCGCCAAATTTATAACAGATACCAATCAGTACAGCGTGAATCATAACAAAAATAGGAGTCACTTCTAGTGACTACACTAAAGACTGCCAATTTTTTTATTTCTGAGGTGTAATAAAGTACTTCTAAATTTAGAATAGTAACGGCCCCTTGTATAAAATATTTATAAGTGGTTCATTTCAAAGTTAAGATTATAAGAAGTGAACCAAATAGTTGAGTGTTTACTTACTTCTATTACTTGAAAATTCTCGATTTTGAAAAAAATAAAGATAACTTGAAGAAATTTCATGGTATATAACAATCTGTTCCAACTTGATTGCATTTTCTTTAATGTATCATTGTATCCTCATTTAGATTTCGCTGGCCCAGCCATCTAGATTGAATATCTATGATCGCCATGAAATTTTCAATTATATTATTGATCCTAGATGGGAAGTCAAGGAAGAAATGGCAAACAATACTATTGTGTATTATCATTTTATTGAAGCCAGAGCTTTTGATAGCTCAAAAGGAACCCATGTGTTAATTATAAATGGACAAATAAAAGATTATTACATATCATGTATAGAAAAAAAAGTAATGATGAAAATGATAAAATATTGAAAAATTATTCTTATTTTTAGAATGGAAAAAGGTACATGAATTTAAATATACAAATGATCAAGATGATGGCAAAAATATATCAGACCTCTCTTACTCATATTCAAAAATCACTTAATCATAGCAGTTTAATAAAAGTTACAAGCATTTTTTGGAATAATGCTTCAATTGAAGAAAAAACAATTTATAAAAAACTGTTTAAACGTGTGAAGAATTATATTTTCAAAAATAATCTTACCAGAATAGAACAATTACTGGTACATTATGATTATTATTTTTAAAGTAATAGCATTGGTATTTATATTTTTACCTTAATAAATACCATTATAAATTCTTAAAAATTTAGTGAAAGATAATTATTTTAATAATTCTATTAGAGCTGTTGCTGGTAATAATTTTAAAGAAAATTTAATAAAATATTATGATTACTATCTTGGCCTTTTATATATTAATGGAGGACTCTATTCCAGCTAAATTTGAAATTCAAATAGGCAATTTTCCAGATGCACTAATGCTTTTTGTTTCTTGAATTATTTAAATGTGATAGTAGTATGATGTTGATAAAGATTACCCAAAGGGCTTTTGAATTATGTAAAATATCAGCTGAAGAAGGTTGTTATTTAAAAGGAATTACTATTTATAAATATGATGATTATAATTTTCAAAGTAAAAACAGTGGTATCTTAATCTCAGTAAACTAATTACTATTCACTTCTTTTCTTAAAAATTTATATCACATACCACCATAATAAAGAAAATAAAGAAATAATCATTATCAAAATATAGTGGGTAATAAATAAATAATAATGCAAACTCAATAACAGATAACAAAGAAGATGTAATACCTTAATGATGGCCAATACTTGAAAATTTATATCATGTATAGAAAAAAAGTGATAATGAAAATAATGGAAATATTGAAAAATTATTCTCATCTTTAGAATGGATTATTGGAAAAAGGTGCACGAATTTAAATATTCAATTAATTCAAATAATTGAGATATATATCAGGCCTCTCTTACTCATATTAACTAATCATTCAATTAAAACAGTTTAGTAAAATTACAAGCATTTTTTGGAATAATGCTTCTATTGAAGAAAAAACAGTTTATAAAAAACTGTTCTTCTCAAAAATGATCTTACTAGAATAAAACTATTACTGGTACATTATGATTATTTTAAAGTAAAATACCATTATAAAATACTTGAAAATTTAGTGAAAGATGAGTATTAAATCTATACTATTTTTAACATTTTAAAGGAAGAAAATATAAAGATAATTAAGGAAAAAGTAGTTTTAGTTTATATGGAAATTAATTCTGAATCATTGAATACTTAAATATTCTTTTTTTAAACTGCTCACATTATATATATTCCTTTGACTATTCTAACATGCTAATTTTAAAATATATCAGAAAATAATCTCTTGCAGATGAATAATATTTAGAGGTGAATAATGCATTATACTAATTCATGCATATATAAGGAATTAGGAATAGACCAAACAGAAGTGATTTCTCTATTTCTTTGGATTATTTACTACAATCTAGTGTTAATTAATAATTTATTAAATTTCTTAATGCAATCAAATTCACATTCACCTGAATTCAATTAGTAATACAGCAAATTAAAGAATTACCAAGAATTTTTGAAAGAAATTAAATTATATAAAATTTTTGAAAATTATGAGAAAGTGAACTAAATAGATAAGTGATTCACTTCAAAGTTAAGATTATGAGAAAGTGGGCCAAATAGTCTTACTTCTATTACTTGAAAATTTATATCATGCATGGAAAAAAAAGCAATGATGAAAATGATAGTGAATTCTGAATCATTTAAATACTTAAATATTCTTTTTTTAAACCACTCACATTATTTTCCTTCAACAAATATTCTCACATACTAATTTTAATAAATATATCAGAAAATAATCCCTTGTAGATGAATGAATATTTAGAAGTGAATAATGCATTATACTAATTCATGCATATATAAAGAATAGACCAAGTAGAAATGATTTCTTTATTTCTTTGGATTATTTATTACAATCTAGTGTTAATTAATAATTTATTAAATTTATTAACATATGATTGAATACAATCAAAATCAAATTCACATTCACTTGAATTCAATTAGTAATACAGGAAATTAAAAAATTACCAAGAAATTAAATTATCAAAGATTTTTGAAAATTATGAGAAAGTAAACTAGTGTTTCACTTTAAAGTTCTTTGCTGAAACCTCTGATTTAGCAACTTTAACGCTTCTAGCATGTGACTATCACGTGATTATATGGTCGATCGCTAGTGGCATTTTTTTCGTCTAGACTGTCCAGTTTCTACCTCACTACTTTATATTTTCTACATGGAGGTAATATGAAACTTTATTTGTTTTTTAATTGTGAAAAATACGTTTTTAATTTTTGAAAATACAATTATTTTTATTTTTAAAAAACATGTAATTATAGATTCTGTCATTTCACTTCATATCTGTTATATAGAAGCGATAAGTTGTATACAAACCATAATAAGATGCTCGTTATTGGATATCGTACAATAGTTATTTTTTTTAAAAAAAAAAAAATTAAGTAACGCATTTTATTATTAATTATTAAAATTTTAATAGATTACATAATTTTTTTTATCAATAATAAATTATTAATTGTATAATTGTAAAATATTGTAATTTAATTATAACATACACAAATAGTACAATATCTTATATAAAAATTAATTCCTCTTGTTATGATTGGATTGCCGCGGATTTTTAAGCGATCAACGTACTAAGTTTCCGTTGACATAGCGCCCCTGGTGACACAACCATAACAAGGTGGGAACCCATTCAAGAATAAAATACAATTGTTTCAAATTTTAAGAATGTACATGGTTAAAGAATATATATAAAATGGGTGTATGTCACGTTCTGTTTCTATTTCATGATCATCATCACAAATCTTTTCAGAATTATCCATAATTGTACTATAATCTAATTTGAAAGGCCCAGAAATGCTAAAATCATTGAGTGTATCATCAAATGCTGGTCCTAATTCATCATCAGAAATAGAAATGACATTAAGGTCTGGTTTAGATCCATTAAATCAATATTTGAAATTTACAAAAATAAAATAATGGTAAATTTCAAAATTAATTACCGGCTTCAGCTTCATATTCTTGAATCGTAGTATCACATTTAATCACTTGTTTTTTATTACCCCGGATACGATCACCAATTAAAGTAAATGCAAATCAGAAATTGAGAAAAAATTGCTAAAATAGAAATTATCACTAATTTTTTTTAAAAAAAAGTCTGAACTCTGAAGACATTACCCACAGTAGTCTTTAGCACTTGGGTTGAACTTACAGAAGATTCAATTGGTTGATGTATATCACTACTATGATCACGACCACGACCACAACCTCGTCCACGTCTACCGCCATTTTTTTCACGACCTTCTAATTAAATTAAAAAGTACTAAATAAAAAAATTATAATCATATTATATTGCAATTTTATATAAAAAATATTTACTTGTGACTTCTGCTTCATTTTGCATGGTAGTTTTTTGTTCTTTTCGTACTCTTGTCATTTTAAAAAAAATAAATAATAATTTAAAAATGTTTTTTTTTATAAAATTGGAAGTACTGTACTAGTTACGAAATTTAAAAAAATTATTTTTTTATTACTAATTTTATTATCAAGAAACAAAAGTTTATAAAAGTTTATTTTTAAACTTAATATAAGAAAAAGTCTATTATATGTTTAAGTTTATTTAGGCGAATAATTTAAATTTGAAACTTTAATATATAAAACCCATATATGTTAATAAATAAGCTTCTATATATATATTTTAATAAATAAACTTTTTTATACTTCTCACGGTTGCAAGTTTTGAAAATATCTAATTAAATTACCCTGACGTAATTGTGGCTAATCACATGATGATCACATTATCTTTAACATTCGGTCTTCAATAAATTTTTTCCTTAAAAAAAAATGATTGGATGATCAGATTTGATTATCTGATCTTTTTTTTAATTAATTTTTTTTTCTTCAGTTTCTTCAAGAACAGACCGAACGGGTTCTTTCAGAACGGTGATTTGGACTTCTAAGAATGCAAGAGGTGCGGAAGCTGGAAGGTTAGTATATTTCATTTTTTCTTTTCATTTTTTTTTTCATTTTTTTTTTGCTTACTTTATTTATTTCTTTAGGAATTGTCTCTTTTGGAACGAATATAAGAGATACGGGAAGGTTAGTATATTTTTTCGTTATATATATATATTTTTTCTTTTTTTTTATTTTATAATTTTCAGTTTTTTCTTTCTTTTATTTACTTTATTCTTATTTCTTTAGGAACGGTCTCTTCTTTCGGAATAGCAGTTTCGATGGATTTCTAAGAATGCAAGATAGACGGGAGGTTAGTATATTTTTCGTTTATTTTCATTTTTTTTATTTATTTTTTTCTTTATTTACTTTATTCTTATTTCTTTAGGAACGATCTCTTCTTTCAGAACGGCAGTTTCAGTGGATTTCTAAGAATGCAAGATAGACGGGAGGTTAGTATATTTTTCGTTTATTTTCATTTTTTTTTGTTTATTTTTTTCTTTACTCACCTTATTTTTATTTCTTTAGGAACGGTCTCTTCTTTCGGAACGGCAGTTTCAGTAGATTTCTAAGAATGCAAGATAGACGGGAAGGTTAGTATATTTTTCGTTTACTTTCATTTTTTTTTTATTTATTTTTTTTCTTTACTCACCTTATTTTTATTTCTTTAGGAACGGTCTCTTCTTTCGGAATGGCAGTTTCAGTGGATTTCTAAGAATGCAAGATAGACGGGAAGGTTAGTATATTTTTCGTTTACTTTCATTTTTTTT